AGACAGAGACAGACAGAGAGACAGAGACAGAGACAGAGGGAGAGAGATGGGAGAGAGAGGCAGAGAGAGATAGAGACAGACAGAGAGGGGAAGAGGAAGAGAGAAACACAGAGACAGAGACCGAGAGGGTAGAGAGAGAGAGAGAGAGAGATGGGTGGAGTGGGGGGAAGCACAGAGAATTTTGGTCACTTGCCTGCAAGCTTAACAAGCACAACTCAGCAAGATGCTTTTCATGATATTTGTACTTCCCTAGATGTGCTGTGGGCAGGAGAAATCAAATAAGCCAATTACAGGTATGGCTAGAAGTTTGGATGCAAGGACTATTTTGCCATTTCCCAAGAATGTGACGATTCTAGGAGCTCATCATGTCCAAGCAAAGACCAGAGGAAAATGTTTGACTATGTGACTTTTTCCACATCTCGCTTCTGCTGCTCTGTCTCCTACATCAAGAGAAAACTTTGTGCTCGGTTCTACCCCAGCAGGGCTCGTGCACATCTTCTTGGCCAGACGGAGGAAGCAGTATACTGCCCTTGGATAGAACGTGAGGAGGGAGGACTGGGCTGACTCCCACCTTAGGAAGTAAATTCAGGCTTCTCTTCTGGTGGATCAGCCTTCGTCACTGAATAGTTGCAGAGCATTGAGTGCCAAAGGAAGCTGAGCTATGTAGAAAACATGCTAAGAGATTTAGGTTAGAAGAGATAGAAGGACACCCAGCATGGATAGAAAGCCTGGCTTATAAATGATGACTAGTAAGTCAACAGGTTCAACATATGAAATTTCTCCTTTTGTTCCAACTAAGTGATTTGAAATAGTATAATCTGGAAATCATTTTGGCCAATAATAAGAAATATAGCGCCCATCTATTGCAATTTAGTGCACATGTTTCATCTGTCATCTCATCTTCATGCAACTCACTCATCTAAAACAACAACAGCAAAATGACTCTGGGCCTGTGAGGCACACCTGGAACAAGCTTTGGTTGTAATTCAGTGGTTCCTAAGGTCTCCATGGCTTCTGTCTGTGAGTCCAAGCCTGGAGGACATGAGCTCCCTTCTCAGCTGAGAGCACCGTCTCTCAGACTGAGCCAGATTCTCTCATTTCCATCTCCTCCTGCCTCTCTGTACTTCAGTCTTTGACATAGCAACTCTCCAAAGCTCATCGTGTGCTACTTTTGTCTTGCAGCCATGACTGGACTTGTTGTGCCCCCAATGTAAGAAGGAGGAGGAGGAGGAGGAGGAGGAGGAGGATGAACTGCTTTATCGTAGCACAAAACTACTTATTCTGGTGGACCAATAAGGAAAAGCGCTCTGAGCTCTTTGAGGAGAGTTGTGCCCCCAGAGGCCGTGATGGACAGCTTTGGAAACACGAGGGGCCACCGTCATACTTGGTCTTACATTTCCCCTGCAGTTCTGATGGTTACTACACACACTGATCCTCTTGGGGACAAGGACAAAAGTTGTCATTGAGGTGGTCAGTGCTAAGAGCAGAAATGCTTTGTGATGAACATTATGAAAACCATCTTCCTATGTTTGTAAAATATTTAAGAAAAAAATTGGCAAACAATTCATGCTTAATATTTTGGATACTATTTGTTTTTCTTTGTAGGAAAAAAAAGTTGAAAGTTTCTATTTTCTATGAAGCCTTTCAGATACCAATTTAGTTTATGCAGAAAAAAAAATTGAACAAAACAGGGTACCAGCATGGAAGACTTTCTTAAAATGAAACCTGAATTGAATGATGAAATGTTGTATGTGTGTTTGCTTATAGTTTAATCTCTTAAAAAAAACAAACAAAAAAGGGAAAAATTTTAAAATGTTTTACAATTATTTAAATAAATAAACGTGTAACTTATTGTAAGTAGAAGTAGAAATTAAGACCTTTTTTTGGAAGAGAATTTCTCTTCCAGATGTAAAATGAAAATGATGCAAACATGTAGTAACAAGTTTTAAAGGTGTGTGATTATTACTACATTACTTACTAGACCCTTCCCCTCTGCCATGCAGCCCCCTCTTGTTCTATCATTTTATTGACCCATGAGCAAGAACATGTAACTTATATAGATTTCATACAAAACCTGAAAATGACACTCAAATACATGCGTGTACCCCAGGCCCCACACCCACCCCTTACTCCTCAGCTCTGGCTGTCTTCTCGGTAGCTTACATATCCCTTTGGGTGTTCATTCTGTGAATGGTTTTCTTTTCTTTTCTTTTTTTTTTTTTTAAATCCATATTAGCTTTCACCAGTGTCCCCTGAACAAGGCAGACACTTCCCATGGCTTAGGTCATCCCAAGCTTTGAGTGGTCCAAAAAAGAAACATCTCCAGCGTTGCTAACCTAGAGCTCCTTGGAGTTCTGTTATGCCAAGGCCACACGGTCCCTCCTCTTCTGCCTACCTGGCTTGGCACAGAGACCCAAACTCCCATGGAACTTCAGAAACAGAGTGTGGAGAAGATAACTCTGCTTCTTGGACCCTTAAGATCAATATTAGAATAGCCAAATCCTTTACTTTCTCTGTAGATCACCCCTTTCATGTTCTTAAATACACTTAAAAAAAAAACACGCATCCCACTTGCCTTGGTTTCTGAGCAAGTATGGGGTAAGATGCGGAAGGGGAAATTTAAAATCCCTAAGTCCCTCTCCTGATGTTCAGAGGCATGGAAGTTGAGATGCTTGTCTCAGAGATTAGGGCGCCAGCCCTCTGATAACTGGCCCTTGTATCAAAGATTAGGGAAGCCAGCTCTCTGATGGGCTCCTCGTAGTTCCATGACTAGCTCTTAGGAGGGCCTTTGCACTAGCTGCTAACAGTGACTGAGTCCTGAGAGCCTGCAGGATCCTGAAGATGCACCCAGACTCCCTTGGACTGACAACAGGATATAACTTTTGCCCTAGTCAGGGTTCTTGTTGGCTCATCAGCACCAGGTTAAGGTTGATACAAAGACTTAGCTTGGGGCTCTTGGTTGGGTTCTAACATTGGAAGTTGATGCTTTCAAACAAAATAATCTTTAGTGCACTGGAGCCAATTTTAGATGACCTACTCTGCCACACTGATACACACCCACTTCAACTCAACTCCCCAACTGTAGCATTTGCCTCTAGTTCATCCTGGAATTATCCAATGTGATCAACATTTTTTTTGTATGCACATGAGAATCCAAGGTTTTAGAAATCTGGCATGCTTTTGACTACTGCATACAGTCTCTCATAGGCAGGGCTTAAAGCAGCAAGGTACGTGGAAGCACGCGAGCAAAATTTCCCCAGTGAACAGTTCCACAGAAGGGGAAGAATGTGTGGAATACAAACATTACCGTCCCAAAGTAAAGGCAGAATACGATTAAGCATGTCTAGACCTGGATTTGAGCCAATCCAACATAAGGAAATGTGGTGTTTTTTTTTTTTTTTCCTTAGTAGCATTGCTTTTAGAACCTGTGAATTTTGCTCTTGCATGAAGATGAGTGCAGTACTGTCTTCAAAATGACTGTAGAATTCGTTGGTAGCTCTACACCGAAAGATGTGTGTAACTAAGAAGCGGACATCCTTGACCATTCAGCTAGAACCCTGGCAGCAACAGATCTATTTAACTGTACAAATGTGTGTAAGGATTATTTTTAGTGTACTAATAAATTAAAAGCAAAGCTACTCTGTCCTCTTTAGTCATTGCTATCGAATCATCCCGGTCCCAGCTTATTTTTATGCCCCTTGAAATACGAGTATTTCTATAGGTAACTACAAAATTCTATCCTATCTTTGTAAGAGGAGTTGTGTAAGATTTTTTCATTTAAAGGAACAATTTACTTATTATTTATCTCATTTTTTGTTATAGCATCAAAATCCTTCCCAATTTTTCTTTGCACATTTCAATATGCATGGTTTAAAAACCATTCTCTTCTCTACCTTTTGTACAGTAAGGTCTCATTTTCAGACTGTACAGTTTCACTTTGTTGTTTTGCTTTGTCAGTTATATACAGTATAAAGTTGCTATGCACAGAGCTTTTTGTAAAGACAGCTTTTTGTTTACTGTTTTTAATGGTCTTACTTATGAAAGAATATCTTGTTTGTAAAATGAATAATGTCTACTTCAGTTTTAAACTTTAAATTATCCTAACAAAAAATAAAATTTTTGTACTGTAAAAATGACTCTTTTTTTAAATAGAAAAAACAGTTTGAGACTTAGTCTTAACTTTGGGCACTGGCTTAGGACCTCCAGTGTATGATTTTTTGCTCTGGTTCAGGACAGTTACTTCAGCTTTTGCCTACATGGGAAGCATACCTCGAGGAGAGAGTACGTATGACTTCTGTTTAGCTTTCTCTGTGTATTATCTGCATACCCATTTGGCCAAATCCCTCCATGAAACCCACAAAACTCAGCACTCTATTTGCTCTGGGGGATGTTGATTGCCTGAGATGCTTGAGGTCTCTGGGAAGTCTGATTTGAAACTGCTTTGTGAGCATGGTTGAGTTAGAGGTGGGGGCACATAGGCTGGATTCCCATTCTCAAATCACAGAAATGGAGCAAGCCGTGGAGGAAACAATTGGTGGCTCACACAGGAAGACAGAAGGGCTGGAGCCATCACAGAGCCAGCAGTGGCCGGCGGAGTTTCCCGGGAAGGCTGGGCTGGACAGGCCTCTGAAGAATTCTTCATATTTTTAGCGGAGGCTTGAAGTGAGTGCTCCAGATGGAAAAAAGAACATGAGAAAAGACATATAAAGGGAAACTCACAGACCACATCTAGGGAATTTGATCCCAAACATGATTCTCAACCAGAATACTCACAGTATAATTGCAGTATCTCATTTCTTTTCACGAGGTTCCCAATAGAGTCTAACCACATAAACTGCCTTCCTGATGCGCACAGATGAGACGCTATTTCTGAGCACAAGACTGAGAACGCTGCCGGACTCTTGCTTTTCTTGGTGAGAATTAGCTGTCCTGTCCCTGTATCTTTGTATGGCTTGAGCCACCTTATCCTTCAGGCCTGGATTTAGGTGGTGTCTTCTCAGCAAGGCCTTTGCTGGCAGTGACCAGTGGTTTAGGCGCCCCACCTCTCTCTGCACCTGACCTCTGTAATGTCCTGGTCTGGTTCCCATTCTTTGGTTATTTCCACTCTAGACACGAGGCTCCTGGGTGCAGGCACAGTGTCAGTGGCAAGTTTGCTCATACATGAAGTCCAGAGCCCAGGCCTGTGGTCTCGCGAGTGCTTGAAGGAGTGACTGCGTGCCTCTGCCCTCCTTTGCTATATGGGAAATTACTTCTTGAGAATTGCTTCTTAGGGTCTATGTTGTCAGCCAGTCAATCGAAAAGATTTTATAGTGTGCCCACAGTGTGACATGGCTACCTGCTTATCATACATGGGACACCTGCAGAGGACAGAGTTGGGAAGAAGAGGCCCTTGGCTGGCAGCCCTATGGGATGCTTGTTTGCCCACTAACCGTGGACCTTGTCTCGTGTGGATTCTGTTGCTCAGAGAAACTCCAGAACCAAGCTCTGGACATTTTAGGAAGAAATACATCCCATTCTTAGCTCCACTAAGATAATTAACTTGTAGCCACATGCCTGAATCTTACAGAGATTCTGCATAGGCCCTACTGTAAGAGGCTCAGATTGGCTCTGGCTGGAGAGTCCAGAGATTTGGAAGTTCTAGGCTTAAGTGCAGACCAGGCCCCCACGCACCTTGGTCCCATGTAAGGAGAGAGGATTTCCTACCTGTAAGACTATAGTTCAGGTGGTGAGAATCAGAAGGGAACTTAATTCAAGGAATAACATGGTCAACTTTATGTTCTGGAAAATCCCAGTCCTTCAGTGTGAGCAGTGCATTGGAGAGAGTGGATATAGGGTGCAAGGAAAGCAAGCACGTGAGGCCCAAATGGCAGTAGATTAGTCCCAGTGTGCTGAGCTTTTGCTTCTCAGTAGTGTCCATTCTGAGTGGTCCCCATTGGTGTCATGCTCATTGTTATAGGTTTTATAAAAACGTATCAGTTATTTAATTATGTTCTTAGTAAAAATTTAGAACACTAATTTATGACTATAAATTCCATTTGTCAGAGCAAAAACGATCGCAGGTATCCTGGAAGCTGAGGAACAGCTTTGATTTTTGCTAAAATCTGTGAGTCCACTGCTTCATTTTATTTTATTTTATTTTTTCCCATAATTTTATTGAGAAACAGACAGCAATAAGACATTTTCAAATCAAATTGGTAGGACAGGTCCAATAATTAACACATTGCATCCTGCCTTCCTAGTGGTTATTTGTTGTACAAGATGCATACATGATATCCTATTTATAAACACTATTAGACCAAATCCCTCTATTCCTTGAATTAAGAGAATGTAGCTATATATTTATCTTAACCATTATGAATACATTGATACAAAATGGTCATTCATCTATATCCCCTTTTTTTGTTTATTTCCATTGTTTAAATATTATAGGTGTGTGAACTCAGCAAAATATTCCAAAATAGTCCAGTAGTCCATAATAGTATTGGGTCTTCCACTTGACTGGCAATATCAGAAGTTGTTGACCTGAGTCTCCTACAGCCCAACTTAACAACATGGCTTTATTTCTTGTTCTTTGTTTTTATACTTTTCTGCTGGATGGTAAGACCAAGATAAAGCAAGACCTATGTAACAAGAATTGTAGCTTTTGGATATGATAAGGTCTATAAAATCCCCTCAGGATTTATGCTGAAACCCTGTACCTCAGATTGCAGATCTTCTGTCAGTGTCAGCCATGTGGATGAGTCATGGCCATTTCTTGGCCAATTTGCTCTCTGTGAAAGCCTGAGAGAATGTTTTCCCTCCATGTGAGTGCGCTGCTTTCTGATTGACCTTGCACTGCTCTGAAATCTGGTATCTCTCTTTCTTGGTGTCGAAGATCTCACTCTCCTGGTGTCTGAGTTTCTGCTACTTCTTCTTGAAGTAAGCATCAACAATGTGTTTGGGGATATCCCTTTGTTGATAGCAATTTTTGTAGAGGTGGTCATAACACATTTCTTGTGTGTTCTTTGTAGAGGAACATGATTAAGGCTAAGAGGCCCAGTCACATGTACACAGCTGCTAAATCAAAGGTTGAGAAGAAAAAGAAAGAGAAAGTTCTCGCTATGATCACAAAACCAGTCAGTGGGAACAAGAATGGAGGTACGTGGGTGGTTAAGCTTTGAAAAATGCCTA